TATGGTTTTCAGACATTCCCATCCACACCTTGATCATGCGTCTGTACTTTCATGGTCTATATTTTGGGACATTCTGTGTAGTAGACTTGCTTTTCGTTAGGAGATGGATTCCTGGTAGTAGCCAGACAGAAAATGAGGCATTTATTTTGGAGTTAAGCTGATCAGATTTTCCATATGGAATGCAACTACATATGATTTACTTTTAGAAACTTTTCTCCATGTGGTTTGATGTATTATTTGATTTTAAATTCCTCAATGATATCTGCCCTTGATTTCTCTTATAAATGTATTTATTTTTGCTATCTGCATGAATTAGAGGTTTTACAGATGTTTTTTATTTATATTAAACTCCTGACTTGGTTTCCCATGAGGAAAGCTTTTCAGTGTAGTGGCATCTGCTCCATATGTGTCTTTAATGAAAATAGCCTTTCAGACATCTGTTAGGCCTGTTAAAAATAGAAGAATTTGGGAAATTCAGCCTCTTCTTGGATGATACCTTTTTAGGAAAATATCATTGTCTGGATTCAACCTGGAGAAACAGAAGCTTTCTCTGCATTCCAGACTAATCAATATGTCAGTACATCTAACTGTATTTTTTGGATAAGGCAAAGAAAAAAAAAGTACCCCTTTCTTTTCCTAGTAGAACATACCTTTCTGCAAATTTCAGCATGAAGACTGTAAACTCAGCTTGTTTTGACAGCTGTGTTGTAGCCCCCATTGGCAATTCTGAGATCTGCTCACTGACCTTGCTGGTCCATCTTTGTTGAACATAATGCAATCCTAAACAGTGCCAGGGATTTTCTGCACTGTGTATCAATGCACTGTCATCCACTAGACAAGGGAAGGCTGCCTGTATGCAGCTCAGAGGTAATTGATAGATGTTGTCCTTATGTCACTTAAAATACACTCCCTTTGTTTCTGACCCGAATATCCTTTAGGAAAATCTTGGATTTGCAGGACAGTCAGTAGTGCAAATTCAAGCTTTTTATAATTCAAGCTGAAGAAACAGAGTAGCAGAACATGCCCTCTATCACTGCTAATACAGCTGAAAAGTCATGAACTCAATGGCTTGCATGTATACATATATATATGTGTGTGTATATGTATAGAAAGACTTTCTGATTTCTTGTAAGTAATTTTAATTTTGAGTTTGCAGTTCTTTGCTTTGTTATCATTTATTTGAGAAAAAAGAGTGTGTCAAAGGTGAAGAAAGATGTACTATTTCCACAAAGCCATAAAAACATCTCAACAAAAATACTATTCTTTTATCGTGAATTGACTTCCCATACACTGAAGTATTGTTTGATCTTTCCAGAATGCTGCTGGTCTTCACCAAGATTTAGGCATGTTGGCTGTCCATTTCAAACTGAGCAGCATGTTCTTTTATCTTCTTTAAACATGATAAAACATCTGTTAAGGTATCAGTCCTTCCTTATTGGAAGCTTTTTTTTTTGCTTTTCAAGTGCCTGAGTCTAAAGAAAAGAGTCAGGGATTCACACTTTTTACCTCTGCACTCTGTAGAGTTCACTGACATTGCAGTGGTGAAAGCCATACATTCTCCACAGGCATCCTCAGGGGATGCCATTCCAGTTTACTCTCTTTGGTCAGCTTGGCTATAACTGATATTTTACTTTTTGGATGGGAACACTTACAGGTAGTCTGACAGCCTCAGCACTGCTGATCCTTTTAAGGAAAGTATGAAACTGAAGCCCTTGCAGTGTTTTTCTCTATGAGCTTGTGACAGGAATGAATCCTCTTCAGTGATCAAAATGTAGTGTTAGTGTAGCTTCTGAGACATGTTCCTTTACTTGACATCAACAAAGGAGACATTGAAAGTACACATATATCATATTGCACACTCTTGTAGTTGCCTCATGATTTATGCTGTATTTGAGAGAAAAAGCTGTCTTTGCTGTTCGATGTGAGATGTGTGAGAGTTACTACTGGGCAGCTCAACTCGTGTCAGTTCCCATTTGGACTTACATGTAGTCAAACTATTCTTGTATGCTATTACTTGAGAAATAGGACTATTCATTACCCTTACACTGAGTTCTCTGACTTGTGTAAGTTCCTAATTCAGCTTCCCTTTTAGTTATTTGGATTGTCTGTTTTCAGGATTCCACTATAAAGACTTAAGTAGCCTTACGGACATCCTTATATGCTCATTATAAAAAAATACAGGACATTAAAAGAAACCTGTCAACATTGCAACACTTAAATTCTTAGCATCTCTTGTGGTAAGGTGTCTGGATTTTAGTTTGAATATAATTATAGACTACATGTCACAAAGAAAGCCATATATTACTAAGGCAACTCTCCATCTCTACGCTTCTCAATAACTGATTTGTCAAACAGGTAAACAAATAGTACCAACAACATGCATTGTGCATGGATTTCAGACCATTTTGAATAATAATGATGAGGATGACACTATTACTACTAGTAATAATAATAATAACCCAGTGGCATTTCTGTTGTGTTTCTGGCATTTCGGTTTCTAATCTTTTAGAGTATGTATTTCTGCATTCATCCTTAAGAATTACATACTCACATATGGGACATCCTAATTTATTGTAGTTCAAGTGATTCTGATGAAAACTTGGCACCTTTTACGCATAGGTTCATGCTCATGTTTGTACAACACATCTTTGTGGTCTAAAGTATCTGATTACTTCAGTATCAAGGATCTGCCTGTCTGAAAAGCCAATACTCAATAAATGATAGATCTTCTGCTGATTCTGTAGTGTCTTGAGCTTGGTACCATTTAAAAATCAATGCACCTTACACTGCATTTTGTTAGTTTCTATGGTTTAATATTAATGAATCATCTCTATTGCACCCTGAGTAGGGACAAATATTAAAAATCTGTATAACTTCAATGAAGCTTTGTGGGTTTTTTCTAGTCTATTCTCAATTTTTCCTGGCTAACCAGACAACCAAACTTAAAATTAGGAATATTGTTCTCAATATGCTAAGAAGTAATAGTACATGTACAAATCTAGTAAAATAATCGAGGAAAAGTAGTTAAGAGTGATTCTTTGTGATGGAGCTGGGAGAATGACTTCATGACAGTTGCCTCTGTCCAGTACCTAAATATTCTTTTAGGTAGTTATTCTTAAATTAGGTGTAAAGTTGTAAGAGTACTATGTTAATTTTATGTGTAGTTTAGGAATTTCTGTTTCTGTTTCACTGCGAAATGCCTTATTCAAATTCAAGTCCCATTATCCTTGCTGATTCATACGTAAGTACAAATTTTATCACAGTTGTTGGATGCTATTTCATGTATTATAAGAACAGAATATCTGCCTACAGTGGGCACTGAGCTAATAATGTTCAAACTGTACATTTTAAGTGTTTGACTTTAGGAGCAGGCTGGAGACAGCCTGCGGACTAAAGCACAACAGTTAATGTTCAATCTAGTTTAATCTGAAAGACATCCTGTTTCTGTACTCTGCTCTGTGAAGAAAAACAAAGTATCGTTAGTGGAAAGGATTTCTTATTTTACATCAAGATTTCATATATGAACTAAAATGCAAATAGTATGTTTACTTCAATGGGACATCATCAGGTGGATGCACAGCTAGGCAGGCATTTCTGAAGTGGGTTAGTAACATAAAATGTTCACTCCACCTGAATTTATTTTCTTCTACTGTCACAGTAAAACCAATAAAAGAGACTGTAAATTCCATCCTCTTTGGCTTCTATATCAAACCGTTTGGATTAGACAGCCTTCAGTTTCACTTTATATTGAAAATGGAAGGAGTGTCACCATTACCCTTTTCAGAGTCTGTTTTGAGATGATCAGTACCATATGACTTAGGAACTTTGCACTGTCAGAGGAATTTTCACATTGATAGACTAGATACGGTTGAGAAATATTCTATAAAACCTTAGGTGTCGCTGTGGTCTAGAGGGGGATATTTCCAATTTAAAGACCTGAGTTTAATGCCACTATATGAAGGCTATTACTCTGTTGGAGAAGTGCCAATATTATTGCTTCTTTTCTTGCATTGAGAAGTACTGATATCTGGAAACCATAACGTATTCTTTATTAATGGAAAAAACCCAGCAAAACAAAATTGGTTTAGGATTTCAGAAATTGTCAAGGAATTACTGTCTTGAACCTTGCCTTGAGAAGGAAAAAGAAAAGCATGGGGAAGGAGATCTTATGGAATTCATGAAATTGATGGGAAAACAGGGATAGGGAAAAATGAGATAAGTAGCTCATGGAAGAATTTGAGACTAGTGTTTCTACTGTGGATGTAGTTAAAAATGTGCAAAATACGTCTGGAGTGAGAATTGAGTGACTTAATGTTTAGGAAGATTGAAACTTCCGTTGAAAATATATGACCAGTAAACCATAGAAAAGGCCAAGTCTTTTGAATATGATCTACATAAGCTACTGTTTTCCTGGGAGCATTCTGCTGTACCTAATTAACTGTAGTAGGTGAGTGTACAGTAGTATAGTGGGATATGAATATTGGTATATACTAGCATATGCTATATTACATGTTTCATAGCTGAGATTTTTCAAAACTGTTATATTCCTGCAAGTTTATAATAAGCTGTTATTGGAATCAGCTTTCAAATATTTGCAACAGAAAATGAGATTTGCCTTGTTTTGGTACATCCTGAGTTATACGAAATTTGTGAACTACTTTCATTTCTTTGCAACTACTGGGTCATAAACATGGATTAGTTTTATAGGATTTGGTATATGAGTTGACAGATGTGATATATGATGACACTTTATCTTTTATTGCTTACATATACTAGTTATTTGGAAAGGATGGGGGCAGTTCCTATTAACCACAGGATGGGATTTCAGTTGCTTACCCAAGTGTCTCTCATTCATTCATTCATTTGCTATCAGTTATAGCAGATATATTGCTTCTTCAAGCCTGTCACACCAATAAATCATTTCAGATTGTATGCATTTGTACAGTGCCAAAGTATACGATGAATTTTAAAGGAAATCTCCTGTTTTTCTTTTCAATCAGATGAGCAACGTGAAGAGACTACGGCCACGGCTCAGTGCTATTCTTTTTAAGCTTCAGTTTGAGGAGCAGGTGAATAACATCAAACCTGACATCATGGCTGTCAGTGCTGCCTGTGAAGAGATAAAGAAGAGTAAAAGCTTTAGCAAGCTGCTGGAACTAGTATTGTTAATGGGAAACTACATGAATGCAGGTTCTCGGAATGCACAGACCTTCGGATATAATCTCAGCTCCCTATGTAAAGTGAGTTTTGAAAGTTCGTGTTGAGTATTACATTCACTTTTTCATTTGTTTTTTTTTATGCTGCTTAAATACTTGGGTTTATGTTTTTCCTGCAGTTATTTGTTTTCTATTTTTTTCGTTATTCTTAGCATTAGTTGATGGTTTGAACAGTACAGCTAATCCGTGATTAGTCATCTTGAGATGGGCTTGCATTTAAATTTTTAGATGATTCTATTTTGAGGGAATACTGAAAAATCCAAATCCAAACAAAATAAGGTTGTGAAAGGACTATATCACTGTGATCAGAGTAATGGTGTAGTTTCAATGTCTGAACACTTCTAAGATATCTATCACATTTTAATATGTTTTAGTACAGTTATGTTTTCTCTTGGACATACATTTTCTGCTCATATAATTATCTTCTTTTGTTGCTCAGTTTCATCAGTTTCTTGTTTCTTCTAATTTTTCTTAAATTTTCACTCTTTCAACTTTTGTATAAGGTAAATAGAAGAAAGCATCCATACTTTTCTGAATGTTAATTTATAATCCATTCTAATCCTAATTATCTTCCCCATATTTACTGTTATTTTTTTTCCTGTGCCCTCTGGGAGACTATTGCAAAATCTACAGAGAGCACCATATATGTAATAGTTCTTACGAGAAAGGAATTATTTGGAAGTTTGTATGTACTCTGTCTTCCCATTTCTTTATCTTTTCGCACAGGAGAAAATACAATATATTAACTTCTACATTCTTTAATCACCCTTATGCTGCCATATTTCGGAAGAATTCTTTCACTATGGTTTTTGAGTGTTGAATGTGATACCTATGACATAAATATTCATAGAGAATAAGTTATATACTTTCCCTAGTCTAAAGTAAACATTAAGCATGGGTCATCCACCTAGAGAAATACAATTTGTTGAGAAACATATTCAGAAGGAAAGTACTAAAGGTTCACTCTCCAGTTAGGTGCATTTACTTCTTAGGTTTTACAAAAATCTGTCATAGGTCTGTTTATATTCTCTGTATTTTTAATGCACAAGACAACAAAAAAAGAAATATGAAAACAATGTGAAGGTAATTTTTACAAGCAGTTTGAAGAGCAGGATCAAAAGTCAGAATTTATCTTGGAGGAATAATTTATTAAGATCTAGAATATGAAAATTTTGAAGGTAACCTTGGAGTATTACACATAGGAAAGAGAAATGATGTGTGCAGATAATGAAAGTAAGGAGTGAATGACAGAATTTCAGAACAAGGGCTCCAAGTCCTGACTCACTCTACAGAGCTCTGTCATGAAATGCATTTGATAATCCAGGATCTTATAGTTAAAATAGAAACATAGAGTATACTGTAAGGGACCCATCAGGATCATCAAGTCCAACTCCTGGCCCTGCACAGGACACCACAAGAATCATACCACGTGCCTGAAAGTGTTGGCCAAACGTTTCTTGAATTGTCTCAGACTTGATGCTGTGACCACTTCCCTGGAGAGCCTGTTCCAGTGCTCAAACACCCTCTGGGTTAAAAACCTTTTCCTGATATCCAGCCTGAACCTCCCCCAACTCAGCTTCATACTGTATCCTCTAGTTGTCACTGGTCATGAGTGAAGAGATGAGTTCCTGCCCCTCTTCTTCCCCTCCTGAGATTGTTGAAGACAGCAATGAGGTCTCCCCTCAGTCTCCTCTTCTCTAGGCTGAACAAACCAAGTGACCTCAACCACTCTTCATACAGCTTCCCCTCCAGACTCTTCATCCTCTTTTGGATGCTCTCTAACAGCTTAATGTATTTTTTATATTGCCGTGCCCAAAACTGCACACCATATTCAAGGTGAGATCGCACCAGTGCAGAGCAGAGCAGGATGATCCCCTCCTTTGACTGGTTGGTGATGCTTTGCCTGATGGTCCCTGGGACATGGTTGACCCTCCTGGCTGCCAGAGCACCCCCAGCTCCTTTTCCGCAGTGCTGCTCTCTGTCCTCTTGTTCCCTAGTCTAAACACACAACCAGGGTTGCCCTGTCACATGTACAGAATCCGGCACTTGCCCTTGTTAAACTTCATATGGTTGGTGATTGCCCATCTCTGATTTGTTGAGGTCCCTCTACAGGGCCTCTCTGCCCTCAAGGGAGTCAATAGTTCCTCCCAGTTTAGTGCCATCTGCAAACTTGCTTAGTATTCCTTAAAGCCCTGGTCATTACCGAAGATGTTGAAGAGAACCAGGCTGGGGATGGAGCCCTGAGGAACCCCACTGGTGACAGGTCACCAGTCTGATGTTGCTCCATTCACTATAACTCTTTGTGTCCGACCTGTGAGCTAATTGCTCACCCATCACATAACATGGTTATCCAGCTGTGTGCTGGACATTTTGTCCAGAAGGATCTGGTGAGAGACAGTATTGAAAGCTTTACTGAAATCGAAAAAGATTACATGGCTTCCCTTGATCAACGAGGTGGGTTTTCCTGTCACAGAAGGAAATCAGGTTCGACAAGCAAGACTTTCCCCTTATTAAGCTGTGCTGGCTGTGACTGCGTTGTCCTCCAAATGTCCTTCAATACCTCACTGAATAATCTTTTCCATGATTTTACTGGGGACTGAAGGTGTGTAGTTTCCAGGATCCTCCTTCTTGCCCTTCTTGAAAATCAAGACAATGTTCACCAGCTTCCAGTCAGCTGGGACCTGTCCAGATTCCCAAGACCACTCAAAAATCATTGAGAGAGGCTTTGCAGTGACATCAGGAAATTCTTTGAGTATTCTGGGATAAATCCCATCAGGCCCCATAGATTTTTAGGGATCCAACTGGAGCAGCAGATCCTGCACAATTTCAGGGTTGACTGGGAGCTGATCATTCTCACAGCCATTTTCCTCCAGCTCAGGGCAACCTGAGTTCCTCAGATTTGCACACTTACAGATTATTTCACCTTACAGGAGGGTACAACATTCTTTAGAGAGGGAAAAAATGTCTTTTAGTGTACCTTCTGTATATTATAAAGATGATTATCTACTGCTTGCTTGGTGCTAGGGGCCCCTGGTGGTCTAGTGGTTAGAGTGCAGGACTCTCACCGCTGCGACCCGGGTTCGATTCCCAGCCCCCCGGGCAGATGGAGCTCGTCAGCCCTGTAAGGCAATCCATCTAAGAGAAGGTCACTCTAAACAAACCTACGTCCTGAGACCCTCACTGCCACTGTCCAAGCTTGCTTGGCCCCGGCAGATGAACCTCAGGATTAAAGGGTGGGCTCAGTTCAGCGCACGCTGTGTCTCACCTAAAAAATCCACTGCGCAGGCTCGAAGGGTTAATGACCTTTCCCAAATCTTCGCTCGCGAAGACTGGCCATTATTATTACTTGGTGCTAATAAGTTTTTAAGTGAAGTCTTGTCTGAATTACTGCGAAAAATATATAGACTGACTGGTGAAAATCCATATGTAGAACTTTTAATCTAAGGAAAAAAACATTTGGGTGTATTTAGTTTAGAAAAGAAAGAAGAGGAATATGCACTTCATTTATGCTCAGGAGAAATGTTGATCACTACCAATAGGCTGTAGGTGAAGTAGATAAATAGATACAAAGCTTTAAACACCAAAAAAAAAGGTAATTTGCTTCCTATTGTCAAAATGTTTATTATGGTGTAATTTTGATATTATGTCATGCTGTGTGATTGGAAGTGCTGAGACTAGTTTACTCTTTTCAGGACTTAATTTTTGCATAAAGAGATAATGTCATATGTTTCATTTACATAAGAAATGTGCAAGTACAAAAATGATGTTCTAATGACACAGATTTTGTATCTATTTTGTTTGACGTCACTTCATGCTAGATTGTAGATACCAAACCGTGGTGTGTAAAAACTTTCTGGGAGGGAAGATAATGCAGCCTTAATGGTTGCTGAATGTGAATGCCTATGGCAAGGGGTTTGGACTAGATAGTCTTTAAAGGTGCCTTCCAAGCCAAGCTGTTCTATTATGAGAAAAAAACAAAACAAAACAAAAACCCCAGAAAATGAAATATTACAGATTTTGCTGTGAGGCAGAGCAACTATGACCACCAAGTCTAAGCAACTTTGAATTCATCTGTAAAATTTCAGATCTCTGTCACTAGATATCCCAGGACAAATGCAACTTACAATCAACTACTTGTACTTTTGAAGGTTGACAAATTTTTTTCAGAGAAAAACACTGGGACTTTGCATTTACTATCCTATGTGTATCAGGGTACTAGTCACCAATTCTTAACTTACCTCATCCAATTGTGGCCTCATTTAGGAAGTCCGTGAGTGCCAAGCCTTCACTGGGTATGAAATTGTCTTTTACACTGACAGATCACTTTGTCTGGAAACACAGAGGTAAAACTATGTATGTGTAATTTTTGGGATTTTCTTAACAATGTGTAGTGTCTTGGTTGATGCCTAATCTCTTCTGTTCTGAGAATAATGAACTAATATTAAACTAATATTAAAAATATTAGTATTAAAACAGGAAAATAACCCACCCGAACTAGCGTTCCTCCACAGCCCAAATCTAGAAAGCTGCAAAATGCGGACTCTTTGGTTGTCTGCACAGCAGTTTTCAGTAGTTTTTTTTTACAACCTAAGAAATTTTCCATGACTTCTCTCCTTCAAAGATATTGGTTTCTCTAATATTTAAAGGCTATGCAATTTATCTGCTCTTCTTCATTCGTGCCCAGCTATGAACTCTCTACTTTGCAGAATATAATTCTGTATCCTGCTTTTTCCCTGCTTCATGTAGAATTGAACTGTAATAGTTCTTCTACATCAGAGAGCACCCATGCATATTCTCAGAAGAGAGATATGATATCGATATGCTAATACTCAGTCATTTATTAAATACTCATGTATTAAAATTATGTACATGTTTATAACACAGGCTCATATTTATAGCTAACTTTTGTTAACTACATGTATTTTAAGCAGTGTAACATTGTAGAAATTTTGTGTGGTGTTAATGAGGTATCCTTCACCAAGATTCCCAATACAGTAGAAGTAACTTATTTTGTAACACTGCATACAGTAAGGATCCTAAAATATGGGTTTGGGTGTTGATATATATGTGTTGCATTTTCTGTTTATTTTGAAAATTATGTCTCACATCAACTTGTCTGAAGGAAACATACACATTCTGAAAGAGTATATCTCATTGTACTAAGATAGTATAATTTTGATCTTTGAAAATAATCACTGACTTTTTACAGTGAAGTAGGAAATATTAACCTCAGTGATAGCCACCATCCAAAATTCTTCAATTTCATTTACATAAAGTACAGAAAAAACAAACAATATAATTTGAGGTTTTAATCCGATAATTTAAAATATTTTTTAAGTGATGACTGAATGAAAAAAAATCTCTTTATAAGAAATTTTCAACCATGGGGAAAAAAAAGGGTATGTATATTCAAATTGGGAATGATCTTGCTCTTAGTTCCTGATTTGAAAAAAATTCCCATACAGCTCTGTTTCTGGTTTTCACCTCTCTTTAGAAAGAGAGGTAATTTTTCCTTTCTGCCTTGTTGCTGTAATTACTCATATTGTTGAACTTTGATCACTTGTATTTTTCGTGTTAACCAAACTAAAGAACAGTCTTGAAGCTGAAACAAACTAACATAATTTTTCAGGTTAATTCCTTGTTGTGATACTGTGCTAAAAACTTTGTGCCTTGATATTCAGATGTTGTACAAGTCTTAGTGCAACTGTGGCAGCCCTTTAGTACTTATGCTTACTTTGTACCTATGTGCACAAATTATATACTTTTCCTGCTAAATTGTTTTATCTAGAAATAGTCCTTAAGTAGCAAAGAAACACTTTCATATGTGATGTCATTTTCTATTGGTCAAAATCTCTTTGATTTAGAAGGACAACTGAAATGGAAGACTACAACAGAAATGTATAGCTGAGTGTTTGCCAGTAGTCAGTTGTTAGTGGTTTTTACACAAGTAGCTGCAAGTTTTAAAATGGCCAGGCTTAAAAAAAATGTGGGATGTATAAAGGGTTCAAAAAGGTTTATACTTAAGAGATTTTGAAGTCAACTTTTTGAAACAATGAAATCTCCAAACTCTTATTTACTGTATTGAGTATTGATAACAAGAAGCACTTGTGCAGGTTGAGGCTGTGTAGCTTCCACTGCCGAAATATTGTTAGGCTAGAGTTAATTTCATGCATGAGGAAACAAATCATGTAATGGAGTGGATATGTGCATTATGTATAATTAAATTCTGCTGATTTAGCTCTGATTTTTTTTTTTAGGCTTTTATGTGTTTGTTCACAGTTTTGCAAATACTTCTGTATTGTTTAAATAATTACATTTTTAAAAGAGGTATGTGTACTGGTTTTGAGTACTGAACTCAAATATGGCATAGAATTAAAAAAAAATTAGTCTGATCTTCCTAGGGGTTTTTAGCAAGGTGGGAAATTAAACAGCCCATTACTTTGTTTTTTTTTTAAAAAAACTACCACTTCAAGAGTTTGTTCTTACCTTTCTTGGATTCATAGTTAGTAATATATATTAATTATTAAAATGTATTTTTCTCAGTATTTTTACATTTTATTTTTTTTTCCTAGCTGAGAGACACAAAGTCGGCAGATCAGAAAACAACGTTGCTACATTTTCTCGTAGAAGTGTGTGAAGAAAGCTATCAGGATGTCCTGGATTTTGTTGAGGATTTTCAGCATTTAGATAAAGCTAGTAAAGGTTTGTGTAACTAACTAAAAGTTTTGGTTTTGATACATTAGAGTGTCTTGTGCGTGGAATGATGCTTGTTTTTTACAAACAATATTTAAAAAAATATACACTAATGGTCTATATCATGGATCAGTAATTTGAGCTGCTGCGAATGGTCTTGAAGATACTTATTGTTTGGTCCTTTAACATTTACTACAGGATTTACCATTACATTTCTTCTAACATGTCTTCTAGAATCATGTTCCAAAATATATTTCTTTTAAAAGTTCTTTTCTATTAACAGAACTTAATTCCAACTTTCAATCTTTTATACAGTAAGTGTATCACTCAGCGTCTTTTAATTTAGAAGTGCAGAAAGGCTGGCATGCTGTCACTTAATTTTATTTTATTTTTTCAAAACATGGAACAGTTTTGTCTTCCCTGCATGTGTGTTCTTCATGCAACAGTAGCATTGAAAGTCTGGAAAAATTTTACTGTTTCATCATGCAGTACAGAATATGGTAAATCTCAGTATAGAGATCAGTGCATTTTTTTGCAATTAATTTTTTAATTAAGAATGTCTTTTTCATATTTTATCACAGTTTAAGTAATTTAAGCAGACTAAGCACTGAGTAAGACATTAATGCTACCTCAGCACTGTCCTACTCTGTCAGGAAAAAAAAATCAGATGGTTGTCTTGGTTAATAATTTTTTTAGTTTATATCAGTTTGGAAAGTATCACTGTTTTTCTAGATTGCTCTATGTAGCATCACTCTTATGTCTCAGTCAGTCTCCCTGACACAAATTACAACTTTGCAAAACCTGCTTCTGATGAAGAACTTGAGATACTGGTCCTTTACATAGAGGAGTTCACTTCCTGGTGTCCTAGTTCTTAAAGTTTCCAATTTTACTTCGTGCGTTATAACCACTTAAAAGTTCATTTACTTCTAAATAGCTGTCAAATGTTTCAAGCCTTTCACCTAACTGTTTGTACTGGAAGTAGAAAGAGTTTCTGCTGTATATGAATTTAACGTTTTCATCATAATTTGCAGTGTTAACTGGTCACTGATTTTTTTTTTCATTACCATGATGCTATTGTCTGTATTGTGGTTGAATTTTTTATAACAGACAGGAAAACTAAAACGTTTCTTATTAGAAGCCATTATTTTCAGCATAGACAGTCATCTTGTATGACTGACAGACACTTTTGACTGTCTTCTGGAAAACTTCTGGGATATAAAACACTGACCTTTCAAAGAGTAGTCAGTAAAATTATCAGTTAGTCCAGATAGCTTTTTTAGCTATCTGCAAATGATTAGATGAATCTTTGATCTCACTCAGTATGTTGTAAGATGGAAATCAATGATCGTGTTTTCAAGTTTATATATTGAATTTGCTTCAGTGTATTATGAGACAAATTTTGCATTTCAGTTTTATTGTATGAAAAAGACAAAGGCTTAGGATATCGTTAACAGGTTAGTGTATAGAGTGCTTGTTTATACTTGTTTCCTTACTTACAAAACTCCATTCTGTTTTGAAAGACTCCTGCTGTGTTGGAGTTTTGGAAAATGCAGCAGATCACAGAGGCTGTAGCTCATGGGGTTTTTTTAAACTTTTTAGTCCTTCTGCAAAAATACCTTTTTATGAAGCAAGTTGATTTACTATGCACCAACTGTTGCACAGTAAATTTTTAATTAAGTGGATATTTTTACTTGAGTTTACCAAAGGTCAGTTAAAAAAATGTCTGTGAATCTGTGGTTGTGTTCAGTCACATCCAACATATGGTCTCATGTAACTTCCTAATATGCTGATGAAGTCTAACAAATTGACTAAGAATGATTTGTATTGAGGCTTCTACAGAGAGTTGAGAAATTATAGCAGATTTTACAGCAGATATTACAAGCCATCATTATGGCTACTAGGGAGAGTGATAGAGAGGAAGTCATAAAAAATCTTTTATCTAGTCAAATATGCATATTCCAGAAAAAAATACTGGTTGTGGTAGAACAGAATTTGGTATCGAGGGTTTAGAGCATTTCCTCCATTCCTAGATACTGTACTTAGGGTTTAAAAGGAATAATCCATCCTGGGTTGCTTTATTGGAGGCAGTTCAGACTTCCAGTAAATCTGGAAAACTACTGGATCCCAATGTTGCATGTAAGGGGTTACAGGCTCCTGATAGTACAAAAGGAAGTCAACCTGGGTTTTTCCTGTCATCTGATAGAAAGGTTCTGTTCACATATATGCTGCTTTGTTCCTCAAAGTTGATGGGTAAGGAGATAACATCCCTCTTTTCTGGTTTGTATCATACTAATATAATGGTCAATTTTCCTGTGAGCCATATAGGTTGTATTTTTTTCCAGTTCTTGTTTCTAAATTCTCTACCTTTTGTCCTCTCAAAGGTTAGGGCCTTGTATAGGTGGTGGAATGCCATTCCCTTCACGGTTTTGCTGAACTTTGTTCTCCAAAGTAATTTTTAAAAGTAATTCTGAAGAATAAATCAGCAAAGTTGGATAAGAATATTCTATTCTCCCATACCTTTGTTGTAAGCTGGTTTTTATCGAGCTGATTCTATTCCCTGTCTGCATAGTCATGTGTTCAAATACAATAATTTCACATTTTTTATGTGGCATAAAAGTATTATTTGTGAGTGTCCTTTAAATTATAAATCAAAATTAATGTGGTAGATGTTTATATGTCATTTGAACAATATTAACAGAAAACTTGATGCTGAACATACTGTATAAAAATGGAACTATACTATGTATTTTTTTGTTTTGGATTGATCACCTTCAAGTAATTGTTGAGTCTTCTACAGGTTTCTCAAAACAAGTTATTAAAAAAATGCCTTTTTTTTTTAATTCCTCCCTGACATAAGTGTCCTTGTATCAGCCAGCCCATTTGTAGCATGCCTCATATTTTTTTATTTTATACTTGCTCATTTTTAAACTTTTTCTCTCAAGGTGTTTCTTATTCAAAGTGGTGACCATTGGAACATTACAACATTCAACAATTCATTTTCTTTTTATCCTTTTCAGAAAAAACATTCTTACTCAATTAATTTCATTAAATATTGTCCAGTGACTGTATAGTAAGCTGTTAAAATAGCTTGCAAGACTTTAAGAGAAGTGACAAGGTCTGTTAATTGTGAAGCTAACATGTATTTTTTAGTATTTCATAAATGATCAAGCATTCACAGTATGTAAATTAGTCACTGAATTAGGAAAAAGATACTTTTTTAAATATAACTTTTACAGGCAAGCAACAAGGCACATGTAACCTTTGAAAGTGTAGTTTACTTCAGGATATTTAATTTGGGGATTTTTTTGCATTATATGCTAAAAGTTTTGTCTCTACTTTTGTAATACTGGAAGTAGATTTAATTCATTGTTATAGTACATGTACATTTTTACTTTGAAGTGTAACAAATCCTGTTTTTTAAGTACTCGTAGATCAGCAGGAGGAACTTTCATTGCAGCTAATGAGCTTACTGATATGACAGTTCCTGAAGATTTATATAGTTAAAGCTGTCTCTTCTTTTGAACATAATGACTTTCCTACTTTTCTATTAGTGTTCCAGACACAAAATATTTTGGTAATTTACTAATTTTACTAATTTCTTATTTTATGATATTGTAAAGAATTAGATTGCATTTATCCAGGCTGCTGTTTTACTTGATTGACTCTAATTTGCTCAGACCTTACAGGTAATAGTCTATAATAACACTATAAAACTGTAGATTTTTCTTCTTCTAAAAGACATTAAATCATCACAGCTTTACAAGCAATGTATCCATTTTCTCATTTTTGAAACTATATTCAGTTTTTTTCATAGACAATTTCACTTCAAAATAAAAAAAGCTAGAAACCAAATTGTAAATGTGAAGTTTAATCTATATTCATGAAAAAGCAGGATACCTCCACCTACAATATTTAAAAACATTAGGACAGCATGAGATAAAAATATTAACATATATATGCATTCTGTTATTAACATATAAGCATTCTATGTCACAAGGAAAGGCTTTTTTTCCTACTGGAGAATTTCTAAGTCAATGGTAAATTTCTCAATACTATTAAATAACATACTTGTGCTATGCATTGCTTGGGCTTTTGTTTTGATGTGGGTCACAAATTCATAGGCTGTATTTTCAGGCCATCAAGATTGTTGTGTTTGTTTTTTCAGAAAGCAGTGCAAACTTTGAGTTACTCCATACTGTATTATACTCAGTCAGTACCAAAATCGACAGGTACTTCCACTATTTTGCAGATTACACAGATTTCTAAATACCTATAGCAGATTTACAGTACAAAATAGACTCATTGTGGAAGGTGAAAGCAGGGACTGGGAAAATGAAGAACTGCCCACTGTAGAAGATGGCTTCTAGACCATTTAAGGAACTTTGAAGGTGTGCAAGTCTATGGGACCTGACGAGATAAATGCGTGGGTCCTGAGGGAACTGGCTGAGGAAATGGTAACGCACTATTCATCGTATTTGAGAAATGATGGCAGTCCAGTTAAGTTCTGGAAAAGGGGAAACATAACCTTCATTTTTAGAATAGGAAATAAGAAAGACCCAGTGCCTGGCAAAATAATGGAGCAAATCCTTGTGGAAACTGTGCTAAGGCACAGGGAAAATAATCAGCTGTTTGATGACAACCAACATGGTTTCACTGAAGGCAAATTGTGCCTGACAAATTTGGTGGCCTTCTGCGGTGGGGTTACAGTGACAGTGGATGAGGGAAGGGCAATAAATATCATCTACTTGGACTTTTACAAAGCATTTGACACTGTCCTGCACAACATCCTTTTCTATAAACTGGAGAGACAAGAATTTAATAGATAGACCAGTGAGTGGATCAAAAATTGGCTCATACTAAGAGATTTGCAGTCAATATGTCAATGTCTAAGTGTGGACCAGTGAGGAGTGGTGCTCCTCAGGAAACTGGTATTGGGACTGGTGCTTTTTAACATCTTTGTCAGTGATATGGATGGTGAGATCAAGTTCCCCTCAGCAAGTTCGGCAACA